TGTGTCTGTCTGGAGGGGAAGCTAATACCACCCTGAGCCCCAGATGTTACTCTGCAGCTCCCCGGATGCTGTGGCAGGTGGGTGTCACACCTTAGCCCTCCCCCCGGCTCATTATTTCATCAGAACCGCAGCCCTGGTCGAGTGTTAGGGGGGTTTTAATATTGTGAATCATGGACCGTGGGGGGGGGAGGTGTTCCCGGTCTTGTTCTTCAACGTAAAACCATGCTGCGCCTCGCATTGAACTGAGACTGGTGACCTCGCTGTGAAGATGATTCCTGTGCCCCCCGTGCCCATATGGAGCTGCCCCCAGACCGGCCCTATTATAGCTGCTTAGATAATTATGAAGCAAATACCAAATAATGCACTTCCTTTGGTGTTCATCATTCAGTGATTCTTTTCCTTTTTAATCTTAAACAAATTTTGTTTACAAAATGAAGTGCGTTAATTAATGCATATATGAGTGTATGTATTCCTGTCATGAAGCTGGTCAGTAGACACCCTTACTGGCAGAATTGTGCTGCACATTACACTTATACTAATATATTCTGTTTCGACATTGATTGTAAATTTCGGCAGGCAGATAGAGGACGGCTTGAGCAGCTGACTGTGCTCATGTCGGAGTATGTGCAACCACTATAGCCTGTGCTGAGGAACAACATGCCCCCCACCCCCACCGAACTGGGGCCTTTGGCATGCTGCCGCTCTCATTCCCTCCTCCCCTCACACTGATCCTGGATCAGCGTTCAGCTGGTGGGCACTTGAATACCTTGCTGGGTCTTTTCTATGTTTTTTTTTTTTTTTTTTATATAAATGTGGCTTTTTAAAACACACATAATAAAGACTAGAGATTGACCGCTGTCAGTTATTTGCTGATGAATATTTCATTTATATAGCGCTTTTTGACAATACCCAAAGTACGTTACCTACAGCTGTTTCTTATTGGGCTGTGGATCTGCAGTCAAACTCAGCTTTTGTTCAGAAGATACAAATCCCACCACTGGCAGAGTAATTTCACCACTGGGCCCTTGAGCAAAGCCTTAACCATATCTGGTCCTGTGAATGTCTCCCTCTACTTCCTCAATTGTGCTATGCTTTGCATAATAGCGACTAAATAAAAAAAACAAACATAAATGTAGCAATCAGGTGTCGACCTCACTGAGGTTTGTAATGTCGCCATTTTAACTTTCAGATCGATCTGCTTCCCTTTAAATGTGACTGTGCTCTTCCGTCTCGCAAAGTTCGTCTGAGGACATGTGATTGCGTGGGTGCTGTTCTGAGCCGTCACTGGTGAGCAACATTCACTCAATTCCAGGTATTCTGGGGGTGTGTAATCACAGCAGCGGTAATCCTAGTGGAGGGGGGCTGTCTGTCAGACGAAGGGAATGGTGATGCCAGGTGTGTCGAGAAGGAAGGTGTCACTGGCAGATTTGTTTTGCACCCCCCCCCCATGGCAAAAGCTCCATCGTTTGCAGTTCTCTTACGACGCGGTGCGGTGTGATGCATTGGTCTACCCCTGCACACTCCATATCATTGCAAAACCCCGTGATTTAAAACCCTATTTCGCCCTTGCCGCCCCAAGGGCCGTCCCAGCCCTTGAGATTTAGCGCCGAGGCAAAGGAATTTGTTTTTATAGTGGACTGAAGCGATGAATCCCCACTGTCTGCCTGTGGAGCTCGGGGACGGACGCTAGGCGTGTCGCTCTGAAGGTCCCCGGAAGGACAGCCGCCTGTCTCACTCACCGCTTAGCTGAGTTTCTGTGTAGCTCTGATGTTTAGTTCAAAATGAAATTAAATGAATATTAGCGGCACAAGATAAGCACAGTAGTGTTAGTGTCAGTCTCCTGTTACACAGTTCAGGTTACAAACCCATTCAGCTACCGAACTGTGTACAGAGCAAGGCCGTCTTTCATCTTTTCCTGTTGGATGCACCTTAAGTGTAAATACCTCCACATTCATTGCAGATTTCTACTCACTGATTATGTGGAGGAGGATAGAATATTGAATCCAGGCTCTGGGAAAATAAGCCCAGTGGTTCTGATATCATTACCAGGATTGCATTCCGGAATACGGATTCAGCAGTAATGCAATTTAACTGTCCCACAGGATGAAGGAAAGACGCATCACCTGGTTGATTAATGAAAGAACTGATTTATTTGCCTGTTGGTTCATAGTAGACTGGCATCAGAACAGGGTCGGGAACTCAAACCGAAACCAGGAGTGAATTAAAGGGTTGTAAACAATGAACTGGGGATACGAGTATTACCCACATCCACAATACTGTTCAGCTATAAAATTACTTGTTTTTTCCATCTTTTGGAAATTGGGTCAACTTTAAAACACTGGTTAATCATGGACTCCATTGGAGATGGAAGTTCACCAGGACTTCTACAAAACATTAAATAAAAATATAAAATGTCACTGTCAAAATATGTAATATTGTAAAATCACAAATTCTACAATATATGCATAAAATTACATATGAAAGTGGCAGTTATTGGCATATTTCCACTTGGGGACGTTTTAACATACATTAAAAATGTGTATGGGCCCCCCCTTTGTTAAAACTACTGAGCCGAATCCACTTTAATCATAAAGGGATTAAACACAGTCGGTCATGGAATCAGGCCCCAGCATAACTCACCAAGAGACAAGACCAGAACTACAAGCTAGAAGTTTGGCAACTGGATGATGGTAAGTGGCTCAGAAGGGACCATGTGACCATGTGACATCCTGGTCCCTCCCATCAACAATTTAATGGCAGTGATGAGGCCTCAGACATTTGGGCTCCTCTCCCAAATGGAATGGTTCAGTAAATCAATAAGTTACGCGGCCGTTTGCATCATCCCTTGTGTAGACCGACCAAGCCGTGCACACCACGGCCAATCAGCTGCTGAGACCCCCCCCCGCTACTCATTTGTTTTTAATATTATTTTTTTTTGCTTGTTTACATATGTATTGTTCATTTTTCAAAGCTGCAGCTCTGACTCAAAACACTGTTACCCATGGATTCCTGGAGGGGGGAGGGGGGAGGGGGGGCGGAGCAAAGCCACCAGCCTCCGCTCTGGACCAGCCCAGGGGGAGCGGACCCAGAGCGCCCCCTAAGGGTGACCTTCACAAAGCACATAAATAAAATACTCGACAAGAAGCAGCTTCTTCTGCTCGGCGCTAATAGATGAACTTTCACAGAAAAACGACAAAAAAATAAGTCATTGCACATAAAAAATAAAAAAAAAGACTTGGAACTGTACAGAGATGCAACAGGAGCCAGGTGGCTGCTGGGAGGGGACGCCCTGTCCGTCACCTCCCCCTGTCCCTCACCTCCCCCTGTCCCCCTCACCTCCCTCCTGCTACATTCACCTCTCTGGGTTCTGCACGAGACTCCACCTGTTCTTGTGCTTTGAGATCCACCCGGCAGAACGAAGGCAGCCGTCCTGCTACGTTTCACCGTCCACTCTGGCCCAGTTTGCCCTTGCGATACTGGGGGAGGGGAGGGGAGGGGAGAATGGGGAATCTGATGGTTCAGGTGTGGAACGGGGTGTTTGTGGGGCCCCTGGCCCTCAGTCCTCGTCGGTCTGGAGGTCCTCCTCCGCCTGGGCCTTCTCCGGAATGGCCTCCAGGCTGCGCCGTGGCTTGTTCCTCTCCGCGGCCGAGGCCATGGGCCCGGGTGTGCCCTTGTACAGGTTACAGGTGAGCGCCGTGAGATGGATTTGCTTCAGGTTCTCTAGGACCTCATTCTTGGCGTGTTTCAGCAGATCTGCCTGGCCCTGGGAGGCGAGAGGAGGCAGGGTGTGGGCCCGACATTAGCTTAGCTTTCGTTTACTGTTAGCGTTAGCATAGGACATTTCACACATTAATCCAAATTAGGACATTTTAACATTTTAACATCCCTTCAGCCTGGTCAATGGAGTTAAACTATGCTTTTAACTAGATTAACGACCCAAATCTAGTCCTCTCTGAGTCACAAGTCACCAACCAAGATTTCACATCAAGATGGATATTTCTCTTTGTGACGGAAATGAAAATGGCTTTCCATTGTTATGGGGCCAATGTAATTAACTGTTAAGGCTTTGTTTAATGAACTGTTTCTGACATGTCAGTGCATCTGCCCCGATCATGAATATTAATGTGCAAATATGTATGAGTCAGGCAGGGGTTTGAATTTATGGACCGGACAAAATGGTCAAGGAATTAGCAGCGCTAAATAAGGTGAGGTTTACGGTAAAATGTGAATCTCTACATTGCCCATAATGTTTGTGCATGTGCGTCCCCCACATCCCGCCCCGGCTGCCCCCCGACCTCGTGCTTTAAGCTGTTTCTCCTACAGATTTCCCCTGGGCGACCTAGATGATGGTTATGAGTTTACAGTGACTGCCCCAAGGCATATCATACACGTACAGGAGTCTCCAAGACATTCCCAGTCCACACTTCCCCCCCCAATCATCAGAAATATACCCCCTCATAAAATAAACCTTGGAAAATAAACTCGGTAAACTGGGTAGCTCCCAGGAGAATTTTCTTTGCAAAAGTAGCTCCCACTATAAAAAAGGTTGCTGATCACTACTATCACTACACACTGGGATCGTTGCTCGGCCTCTCGCCGAGCCTTAACGTCCCGACGGGGCCCATCCACGGGGCTGTATTACTTCTGAGTAATGAGTAGCTCTCTTATCTGCCTTCAGTGTCTTCAGTTCAAGGCGTCACAGTAAGCAGGCAAGCGGGAGAGATGCTTACTCAGGGGTGTTTATAAAAAACAAACGAGCATGTAAAGGCTGGTAATTGTGGAGGCGTTTGGGACGGAGATGTTTTGCAACGGGGACTGGGGACTGGGAACGCCCAGCGACGCGGCCTGCCGGGTGACTGACTCCGCCCAGCGACGCGGCCTGCCGGGTGACTGACTCCGCCCAGCGACGCGGCCTGCCGGGTGACTGACACCGCCCAGCGACGCGGCCTGCCCGGTGACTGACACCGCCCAGCGACGCGGCCTGCCCGGTGACTGACACCGACGCTGGCTCGTTATGAATGCAGGGAAGTTATGCAAGTAAGCATCCATATCTGCAAATTGCATTACAGGGACCTGCACAAAGCCAGCTCGGACCGGACAGACATCTGTGATGATGGAGACCCCTTATGCTGTTCTAAGTGTACCGTTGAGTAGAATGACATACAAACAGCTGATTTGTTTATTACATTAAATGGTTTTCAAAGTGTATAATACAGCATCAGGAACTGGGAGGGAGGAAAAACGTGGACTGGCTGAAGGTCCCCAGGGACCGGGTTGGGAAACACGGCAGAGGGGCTTCAGGCTTGGTCCTTATTGGTTTTTGACCAGACCTTGTTTGTAAGTGGACACGGTTCTTCCTGTCCTACTTGGTTCTGCAGAATAAATTGCAGAAAGAACCAAAAGAAAATGGTGATGAGTGTGGTGGTCTAGCGATCAGCCACGCATGGACTCAGACCCCCACCTTCAGGATGGTGATGTTCCAGGAGAAGTTTTCCACCGCCCTAATCAGCTTCCTGCCCTTCAGCCCCTCCTTCGTGGCCAAGTCGTGTAGATTCTCGTGGAACTCCATCGCTGGGGGGCAAACATAAATAAGGTACATACATTTCACTATATTAAAGCATGTATGAAGACATTGTTCCGTTCTACCAGTATCATATCCTTTCATACTCCCTCCATCCCACAGCCACCCAATCACAGGCCAGTTCTCCTGCCCTCCATCCCACAGCTATCCAATCACAAGCCAGTTCTCCTGCCCTCCATCCCACAGCTATCCAATCACAAGCCAGTTCTCCTGCCCTCCATCCCACAGCCACCCAATCACAGGCCAGTTCTCCTGCCCTCAGTCCCACAGCTATCCAATCACAGGCCAGTTCTTCTGCCCTCCATCCCACAGCTATCCAATCACAAGCCAGTTCTCCTGCCCTCCATCCCACAGCCACCCAATCACAGGCCAGTTTTCCGGCCCTCCGTCCCACAGCTATCCAATCACAGGCCGGTTCTGCTGTCTGGCGTCTTAATTGGCCCAGCACTGCACCCCTTATGTGATTAAATCAGAGCAGTGCCGTCGGCCACACCGTGCTGCGAGTCTGCGGGCCACAGGTCACGATCTCTCTTCAGTGTAAGGGTTTGTGTAATTATCCGGATGACACATACACTTTAATTAAACTGTACGAATGAACTTCGTTAAGGCTTTACTGCATCTGTAATCAAATGTGGTTGCGTAACACTGTCAGCAACCCTTGGAGATGAAATATTAGCAAATTTGTTGCGTCCGATTGTCTAATGCGACCAACCAATGGACTCAGAGGAACCAAGATTTGGTCCAAAGTTCTTCTCAACCTTTGGATCCATTTTTAGTTTTATTTGATTTTTAGTTCATTAATTGAATTACAATTAAAATGACAAAACACATAAAAATGCTGACAGCACATTTCATAAAACAGGCACTCCTGAATATTCCAGAAGGTGTCTGGCCCACGTTTGCCAGCTGAAACGGTCCTGAACACACAGGGCTCAGACAGAGCTTTCCCACACCGAGACAGCTGCTCATTCTTCTGAGGACACTGTAATTAGTATGTGAGGACAGACTCCAGCGAGCTGCAGCCCCCCCCTCAAATGAGCAGGACCTGTGTGGGTACGCAGAAGACACAAATTACATCCCTTCCCGCACAATTACCGTTTGCCAGGCATCACTGTCGAACCCAGAATGCTGTAGGCTTCCACGGTGTCAGTGCCACCCTGAAAGGTGGGCAGAGACCAACCAGACAAAATGGCCGCCCCCACTAGATAAACGTCACCGTCTGTAACCATGCCGTCTGTGGCGCCGTGAAGCTTCAAGGGTTCGCAAACCACTGCTGGGTGGTTCTGGTTTCGCTTACGAGCGCCACGCAGGTGGGAAATTCTGGCAGGTTCACAAATTCACAGAACAGGAAGTGAGCAGATAAGAAAGAGAGACACGATGTTAAGTTGCCTTCATGACAGATCAGAGGGCGAAGAAACCATGAACCCAGCTTCCTCTCTACCTGGTGAAACGCTGGGGTCCGATTCTCAGAAAGTACAGGAGGAAATGACAAATATAAATTTGATTCATTTATTAAAATGCTGCCTGAAACACACTGTCTTATACAGTGAAATCCAGTTAAAACGGACTTCAAGGGACCTGGCAAAGCAGTCCGTTATATCCAGAGTTGCTGTATGCCCAGAACACAACTACAGGACACCATTTACTCAGGCCACACCCCAGCAGACACACTTGTGGTATAGATTATTATATTGTACATGTAGTAATCCAACTTTACCTGACCAGATGCGTGACTATTAATAATCCCGATTACGTATCTGCGCTGGATATCACCGGCACGCCACACGCCTTGTAGGCGGAGCTGCATGTCCCTTATAGCCGAACAAAACTACAGCTAATAGCGGCCCTGGGGACCAAATTGTTTGTCCGTTATAAGCGTATAAATTCCGTTATATGCGAGTCCGCTATATCCGATGCTTTTTCTGCATGTTCTTAAAGGCGCACGGCAGGACCAGTGGACCACGTCCGTTATAGACGATATTCCGTTATAAGCGAGTCCACTATAAGGGCATTTTACTGTAGCACACTGTGTAGAGGGTGGTGTGTGGCTTAGCGGGTGAAGTCTGTGGCTGTGAGCGAAAGGTCACTGGTTTGAGCCCAGCCTAAGCAGAATAGTCCATGGAGCCTCGAGCAAGGCCCTTGCCCCCCAGGTCCATAGGGCTGCATGCTGGCTGTCCCTTCGCTGTCACGCCCAGATTTGCTCTCACCTGCATGTGTGAGTCACTGACAGCAAAATGGGATAGGCAAAAAGAGAATTTCCTCCTGAGGATCAATAAAGTATTATTAATCATTAATAGGTTCTAGGTCCCAAATGATAAATGTTTATGAAAACTGGACTGATTTTTTTTTCTGGGGGGAGGGGGGTTGTAATATTTGAACAATACACCAAAATTACAGGAACAGCAGTTCACAGGAAGGCTTCGTTTTTACTTTGGCCTCATTTTAAAAACCACAACAGAGAAAGTTAATGACGTGCCGAATGCTCACGAACATCCTGGTGTCCCCGCGGGGGCGGGGCGGCTGCCGGGAGGCCCATTGCTGGGAAACTGGTGGTAGGCCTTCCGCTTTAGCCTCACTTTTATTTTCCTTCAGTAAGCAGTTTTGTGACATACGCTCGTTAACCGTGCCGCTGGGTCTAGCGATAAACCCCGCAAAGCTCGTCCGGTGCCCAACAGAGATCTGGATAATTAAGACTGTTTAGATGAGGCGACTGATTACTCAATGGAAGGTTCCGGAAGAGCGGAGACACCGGCATGCGCCTCGGTCCCGTGGCCCCGGAAGCGTGCGGCTCTGCCCGCGCCTTCTCGCCTTCTCTGTGCCTTGGTGACACAGCCCTGTGGTTTCCGTGGAGACGTCGCGATGACTCGGCTGCTGTGGACCGCGGTGCATTAAATCGTTTCGAGGGCCAGAACAAATGATTATGTAATCTGCAGCTGAGAAGAATGCGATTCGCAGGCAGGGAAACGGAAAGCCCTGCTAATTAATTACAGCCAGAAACGCAGTTTTTCCCCCTTTGTTTGTAGGCCGGTTCAGGACGATGAGGCACGATGAAGATATCATGGTGCTATAGTGATGCCACTGGGATGTTTTCATACACAACTCCACTAATGATATAATTGCTCCCCCAGACATGAAAGCAGAACCTACGGAATGTTAAGTGCAGCATTTTCTCACAGCTGCATGGTCTTTACCCCCCTCCCCCCCCACACACAAGTGGATCGTGGTCACGGAGGGAAACCACATTCGCACATCATGTTATACACACGTTGCAGCAGGCCAGGTCTGGCTGCTCAGCTGCGGCTGTGGTTGCCTAGCAACACAGGGCCCGCAGCGGCGGAGCATTCAGCCCCGGTGTGTGGGGAGGGGCGGCCATTTTCCAGTCGAACCAAAAATAGAGAGCAGCGGGAGCCCTCCAACGACGAATGGGGGGGGTCAAATATAGCCGCGTCGAAGCCCCCGAAAGTCCACTGGTCAGCCACAGAGCCGAGGCTGTTTGGCACCCTAACCCTTTCCTGCTAGGTCAAGATTCCCCCCCCCCACCAACCATCTTCTGTGCCTTATTGCACTGTTTGTCCTGTTTGATGCACCAACCCCCCCCCCCCCCCCGCAACTGTCATATAGGAATTCCTCTGAAAACACTGCAATAAACCTTGAAGCTTGTCAGATTATAAACTCAGAATGAGTGTCACGTCTGGTGAGTGGCACAGTCAGGTACTAATTCTTAATTAAATACTTCCAACTCAACTGGAACCCTAAACAGACCGAACAAGAGATGCGAGCCGCCCAGCAGACGCGCAGACGCGCCCGGCAGAGCCACCCGGCAGACGCGCACAGGCGCCCGGCAGACGCGCAGAGGAGCCCGGCAGACGCTCAGAGGCGCCCGGCAGACGCGCAGAGGCGCCCGGCAGACGCGCAGAGCCGCCCGGCAGACGCACTGCTTGTGTCTCCTCTGCAGTCAGGCCCGACTCTCACCCCACCAAGCTGAAAAAGCATCTGCATAAACCGGCCTCAAAGCGCCCCTTCCCTCGATTTCCCCCAGCACCTCGCCATTACGTGAAGCTGCCTTTTTCTCCTCCCTCCGTGACGCTCAGATCGCACCTCCCATCTTGACCACTTTCCGGAAGGTTTGTGGCTCCGAACCTTGGATTCACCCTCCGGCTAAAGCCGCACCAAGAGCCATTTCTCATAACGGAGAGTCTGCTGAGAGTTTCATTACAGCCCCCCCCACCCTTCATCTCATGCCGCCACTCAGAAAGCTGCCCTTCACTGCCTTATGGGATGGGGGGGGAGCAGCTTCCCTTTCTTCACAAGAGAATCTCCATATTCCATCTTATCCCCCCTTTCTACTGAGCAACACTATTAAATGGTTTTAAACCCTCTGACCCAAATAGCAGCTGAATTATCGATGTCATTTCCCAACAGACTTCCATTCAAATAGGTGGATAGGACTACCATGATGTCAATCACTGTTTGGCTCAGCCTAGTAACCAATGAGATAGCACCATGGTAGTCCCACCCACTGTGGCTTTCTTCCATTACTAAGGCAGACAGAATTACCTTAGCAATTGAGGTCTGTGGTTTATTGTGTCAAATGAAAGACTTGCATGACCTGCATCCTTAAATCCACAGAGTGCAAAATGCCCTTTAGATTTGCATTTATCTGTCTAGCAGATGCTTTTATCCGGAGCAAATTGAGGCAGAAAATAGAGAACAAGCACCCAGCTGTCGGGGAGCGTCCAGCGAGGGACCTGAACTGTGAAACTGAAAGTCAGGCATGCAGAGGGGCTGTAGAAACACACCGTAAGGCCCCCATATCGGGGGGGGGGGGGTGTCTCGAAACGCCTTGACGACAAGGGTCCCAATAGGCGAGTGCAAAAGGCAAGAGCGTCCAGTTTTGGCAGGATCCATTAGTAAGGGCTCACTAATGAAGACGGAGCAGGTCAGTGGTCAGATGAGTTTGCTGAAGCAGCCCGATAACCATCTAGGATGCAACCGAAATCCGACTGGCCGGAGGTGACGGGGTCAAAGGGCAACAGGCTCATTTCCTGTCTCAACAATGCCAACAGTAGCTTTTTTCCTCAGTGAGTAAAACACCCAACTGAAAAGCACACATGAGATATGCACCCAAGCATCCATCCTCTACACCCGCTTGTCCTATGGATGGTCGTGGGGGTCTGGAGGATGTCTTATGGGTGCAAAGCAGAGTGTAACCAAGACCTGGGCACCACAGCATGTCCAAAGTGACACTTTTATTAAGAAAGCAGGGTCACACGATTCTTAGAGCAGTTAGAGGTTAAGGGCTTTGCTCGAGGACCCTATCGGTGACATCACTACAACAGTGACATCACTACAACCTTTCCAATCACAGGTACAACGTCCAAACCAGTTGAGCCACGTGGCATATATATGATCAACATCCATGTAATTAAACTGAATAATGATCTAAAACACCTGTTAAAAATGGTTAAATCATTTAAAATTAAGTACATTTCATAAATATCCACATTGCCAGTCAATCGCCAGGGACAGCTGGGCCACTCAGAGAGGAGAGAATCCTGGTAGGGGTTTGATGTTTTTCCTCTGTGTAGCGTTTTGGGTGCCGGGCGTTCACCAGCCACGTCCGATCGATCATTCCACTGAGCTGTCAGTCAGCAGACGTCACTCACACTCCTGCGTGCGTAATTAACGCGACCACTGACCGCGTTAAATCAGCATATTCCGGGCGAATGGCGTCCAAGCTCCGTCTCTCACTGAATCTTAATGACGGAATGACGATAAACAGAGGCCTCGCCAACGCAAACAATGAAAATATTTTCACGGGAAAGAAAAGGCCGACAGATGTCCCGTGGCGGGCGCTGAGATCGCCGCCAGCGACACGATGGGCCAGCTCTGCCGCGGATCAGTGTGACAGCCACAGCCCGCCCCGTCAAAGCATCCCCCCACCCCCCCAGCCTTTAAATCCGCATGCTCATCTGGCGACCCTAAGAGGCCAGACCCAGAGCTCAATAAGCATGCCGCGATTATCGACGCTCACTCACAAATCTGTCCCGTAATGAGAACCGGGTTTGTGCCGTGTGGCTGAGATGGATTCCTGCAGCGTGACTGCAGGGAGCGGGTCCAAAATAACCCCGTGGCATCTCAACAACCATATGATGCCTTCTGTAGCTCCAGGACTGAAGACGACAGACTGATGTATTTGTGGGCAGGCTGCTTTCAGTCTAACGGGCCTTAGTCGCCTTGGGACTCCATGCAGAAATTACAATGATCATTCATTTTTAGGTAGAGCAGCAGCAGCAGCAGCAACAACCCCCACGCCTCCCCCCACCCGGTGCTGGTTCCAGTAGAAGTCACACAGCACTTTCAGGTTCTTGTGAGTCACTCCTGATGTTCAGCAGCTTCATCAATACTTTAACCAAAAGTGATGGCTGGATATTTTATTGGGTTTACTGCCTTTGCTCAAGGGCTCCTTATGAAGCTGCAGCAGGCAACCTTGACTTGAAAAGTCCATATTTTTAACTGCCACAAGTCAATGAACCTATAAAGAAAAAAATAAAAAACTCTGAAGGTTTAGAGCAGCATCAATCCAGTCCTCGGGGGCCTCCAGACAGTTCACGTTTTTGCTCCCAACTGTGTCCTTGTCAAACAGTCCACATTTTTGCTCCCTCTCAAAATATGATCTGTCTGGGGGTCCCCGTGGACTCGTTTGAGAGACACTTCTTCAGAGAATCCGTGTTCTGATGGCTTTCAAGCCTGCTCAGAGTCCCTGGACGATTCCTTCAAAACATCCCGACGGAAACTGATAGTCAAACAATATCCTGGTCCTTTTATTTTAGGTTTTGTCCAGGTTTAATAATATAAGGGATAACTTATTCTTGTTGCGTCACGCTTCCCGTGACCTACTTTGTGAGAAAGCCAACAGCAGTGCATCAACAAGCTCTCGTTGTCATCCCCTGTCTCTGGAATAGGAAGCGCACTTGCAGTGCAGACAGTAATTAACATGCATGCGACGGCACTTTGAGGGACGAGTCAACCAACCGCCAATCACACAACAGTTCACACGTGTGAATAGAGAATCGTCTGTGGTTTTATCCTGCGTGTGGAGTTAAACCACACATACCTGCTCTTTGTGTGTGTAGGATCCTCTCACACACAATGTCAGCATTGTCCACCAGCACTTTGCTTGCCTGGATCATCTGTGGGCCCGACGAGTTCAGCTGACCGCCTGCAGAGCGGCGCACGCCTGACAGCTGGGACAGCAGCTGGGGGGGGAAGGGGGGAGAAGGAAGAGGTGGTTTAAAAAAAAGCAGCCAAACAGGTCTGATTTTGTCAAGAACGATTACTTTTATTTTTCTAGCAGATTCTGTCAAATACAGGATTTGAACTAGCAGCCTTCAGATCACGAGCGCAGCATCGTAACCCACTGAGCCACACAGCGCCCTGAAGGTCAAGAGGTCAACCTGGGATGCGGAGGGAAGTGTGCAGGACCTTCCACGTTAATCTGAAGATCCACTTCACGGTTGTTCAGAAATGTCCCGGGTTAAACCCAGGATTAGGTAGGAGCCCTGTGGATGTGAAACGGCACCGATTGTGTAACTGCAGGCAGGTTATGAGTATAATGCATCCGCGGCAAACCCAGGGCAAAGCACAAGGTGCAAAGCACAAGGTGGGTTAGACTTGGGAACGTTTGGTAAGTGTTCAGTAAACAAAAAGCCAGCCTGAAGGGGCACACGCCAGATCCACACGGCTCAGCTGGACACCGGAGATGGATAACAGCACTAAGCGATGATCATAAGGATCATAAGGGAGGAGGATGTGAGGGATCACTGGCATCCTCTTCCAAAATTCGACACTGTATCCTTTCAGCAGTGCCCCCCCACACACCTCCCCGGTGGGTATATTTCAGGCAAACCGCCGTCTACGGACCGAGTAGTATTCTCAGCAGGAAACCAGTAATCTGTTGACCACCGTTGAGCTGTAGGAGATGAGGGCCAGGCCCTCTGGGATTCTCATTACTCATCTGCGTTGGGTGTTTGCCGATATCCGGCACCTCACATGCCGAGCATCTCGGTATAACCAAGAACGCAGATTGTGTGTCCAGAATGGGGAAAAAAAGATGAATATTCGAGTTCCAAATATAGCAAATAGCAAAAACCAGAGCACAACACCAGCTTGGTCATTAGCTCTGGGCCAGCATTGGGCTCGTGATCCAGCCGTATAACACAGGAAGTATAGTTTAGGACTGTGTCTGACCTGCCGGTCAAATCTGCAAGTTACCATGAAGATTTAAGTGCATTAAGAAGCTAAGCGAATCACGGCCCTGAAAGCTCTCCACGTAAGCGAATCACGGCCCTGAAAGCTCTCCGCGTAAGCGAATCACGGCCCTGAAAGCTCTCCGCGTAAGCGAATCACGGCCCTGAAAGCTCTCCGCGTTTGGTCTGCCTCCAGGCGCCGTTTATGGTTCATTAACCGTTCATTCTGAGGTCAGCGCCCAGTCATGTGACCCGCAGAGGTGGCAGCCAGTCCAGTCAAGATTTCCGAGCCTCGTTTGGAAAGGGGGCGGGGGGCATTCCACAAAGCAGGATTTCCCAGGTCGCTGGATAACTTAAGCCTAACGTGAAAACTATCCAATAGGAAGAGAGATGTGACATTCCTATTGGACAATTTTTACATTTGGCTTAAGTTATCTGGATAATGATGATATCCTGCTTTGTGGGATAACCCTCAGGTCTGCCTCTGTAAGGCACTTCCCAAAGAGATGCAATATTTTCAGGACAAGGCTTCTAAGCCCACAGATCAGCTACCCTTGGGAAATCTTAGCATCGTTAAAGACGGTTTTTTTATCTTTATTTTTGACGTTAGCATTCTAGAAGGCCAGTCTCTGGGCTCTGTAACTAAACATTTCAAAGTTTATTACAAACGACGAACAAATTAGTAAATATCTTAAACTCGTAATGACGATCAGTGTTTAAATCCTATTGTTTATTAAAACAGAGCTGGGAGCTGTACTGGCTCAAAGCCCCTGGGTCTTATCTTAATATTAAAACTCACTAAGTAGGCGTTTACTGTGTGAGCCAGACTACAGCACCAACTTGCAGTGCGAATCAGACGGGGTTGTGCGTTTGTCAGATGGGACAGGCGGCTGTGGCTCCGCCCCCGGAACTCCTCTGCCAAGAACGCAGCCTAGGCACAGCTGCTAAGCGGCACGCCGTGTTCCTGTCCGGCCCGGCATCGCTTGCCAGCCAGCCAGCGGGATCCGTTCCGGCTCACGTCCGTGTTCGTCTCGCCCCCTGGCAGCGAGGTCCGAGACGCAGTGTTCCTGGTGAGGACTTAAAGCCAAAGGACCCGCACTCGCTGTTCTGGCGGGTTTGTGACTTTTTCATTCCCACAGCGGGCGCCGCTGTCCGGAAGCCACTGGGCTGCCCCCCCCTGACAGGCCCATATGACAGGGTGGTGATGTCACTCATATCTTTATCGAAAAGCTGCAGGCTCATGGTTCACGTGTTCCCTGCTCCAGTCTGAGGCTGCGACACCCCACAGACCGATCCCCCCCCCCCCAGGCTCCTCCATCCGGGTCACAGTGATGCGAAGACGCAGGGATTTCTCCCCAAGGCAGAAACAGTGAAAGCATCACAGGACCCTGCAATCCTGTCCCCCCCCCCCACAGACAAGTACCCCCGCCCCTGGATTTCCAAGCAAATCGGAAAATGTCCGTTATCTCAGGACTTGTGTGCATGTACAGCTGGACAACCGGGATTAAAGAAGTTTTTCATCCATCCATCATGTAAACCTGGTCAGGGTTGTGGTGGTGGTGTGGGGGGGGGGGGCAGTCTCTCTCAGCCCAGCACCAGAGTACCCAGATGGTCTCCTCACACAACACGGGGAAAAGGAGCAGACTCCACACACTGAGCGTGGGAGAGATTCGCATCTGCGGTCCTGGGGGTGCAAGGTCACAGCGATAGTCACCGAGCCGCCTGATGTTTGTTCAGCGAGCTGTATTTGTAAGTTAAACGTCTGACGCGGCCGCTGAACGGCGGCCTGGCAGAAGATGGCTGCAGGGCGGCTGCAGGCTCTGCGCTCCCCCCCCCCCGGCCGTGACCAGCGCACCAGCTGTGTGGGAATGCTGCCCGGCTGGTTCTCCCCTCCCGAGTGCCGCTGGGCTACGTGAGCCAGCTGCGCCACCTGCAGGGGCGAGTGCCGCCTAACGTGGGGCTCATCTGTACCTCGAGCGAAGAGCCCAAGTCCTTTACACCACAACACTCCTCCATTGCCCATCATGCCCTTCTCTGCTGCTCCACAGGGTGCTATATAAGGTCATTTCTACATACAGCCATGAAACTGCATGGTCTGAATGGCCCAGAACTGCTTAGGAATATACACAGAACATTCATCCCTTCCCTGTGCAACAATTCCACGCAATACTATCTTTGATACTCTTTCACTGTTACTGTTTTTTGTTATGCATCATGTAACGTTACTGTCTATTAATGTCCAAGTCGTTTTTACTGTCTAAATGAGTGTTGTGCTACTGTACACATACTTTAATCTCAAAAGGAGAATGCATCTATCAATCATCCATCCATCTATCCATCCATCCATCTTCAAATAACACTTTCCATCATTCTTCCAAGCTGTTTTTCAGGACAGGACCCTCTGCAGCTCATACTGAAACCCATAAGCTTTCATGTTATAACAGTCATAGCGGCCGCACGCGCCTCGCCCCTGGGATTTAAGGAGATGGTGGCGTGATTTTCTCTTCATCCATGTCTCCCCCTGCCAGTAAGGTGAGGTATTAACCCTCCCCACCCACACGTCGTCCTTTCCCTCAGCCACAAAGCCCCGTGGCGTGATCACCCCCCAACTCCATGATACTGCTCCCCTCTCCAAAGGCTTCGCTTTTCATACATATTCTGTACGGTACTGACACTCACCCCCAACAAACCATGAGCATCTCGCTGTGACTCATTAAGCCTTAATTCTTCAAACAGACACAGACTCACGCTCAATTCTCTCTCTTTTGCTCTCTCTGTATATTTATGGAGTGTGTGTTTCTTCCATAAGCTTCTCCGTTTAATATCTATTCGCTAGAGCAGCCCACACACTCGTTTATCAGTCTCTCTCTTCCTCCATGCCACCCATCTCTACAGCCCATAATACCAGATATACAAGGATGACCACTCAGCCAAACCCCAAAGCAGTCACTCTAAGCTACTCTAACTGTATATGTACAGTTAGATATGCAGTCCCACCCCATTACAATCTTAAAATTCAGGTGCAACTGAAGACTTCCACCAAGACGCTACAGACATGACAAGGCAGGATAAGGAAATATCCCATCTGTCCACGTCACGCCACGCAGAAATACAAATAGATCGAACATCTCAACATGACTGCCCCCCAAGCACAAATCTTTCGTACATCACTGAAAAAAAGAAAATTAAAATGTCAAAAACAAAACACTGCAACACACATGGGATGGGACTCAGCCAGCTTACTCTGTTTTTCAAAGTAACTATAATTCGTTATTGTATTAAAAGCCATGAATAAGCAAAACCACAAACCTCAACCGGAAAAACAGGCAGATGAAGCTTTTTAAAAAAAAAACCTCAGCAGATCTGAAATCTTTAACTCGTTCATTAAATCTCTTATTTTCAGAGGAATCCCTTGCTGCTGTAGGACCTCATTATCTCAAACAACATCTCGCTTTTGAAACAAATCAAATTTTAGTGGCTCCATGTGTGCTCAGGACTAAAAACACCCCCCCACGAGATTAATAAAGCCGAGATTGTACAGACTGTCATCCAGAAACTCAGAGAACTCTCCCGGTCCAGTCATAAAGTTTTGGTTTATTGAACCATCTACCATCCCCGTTCTTCCACATCCCCTGGCCTGTCGGGTGCTTATGAGCCCTTTTATTTTTACTGGACACAGGAAGTGGCGTGAGGAGAGATGCAATCCAGACCCCGCCCCCCCCAGCACCCCCCACGGCTTGCTTACCGATTCGTAGGTGGTGACCACCTTCTTCAGCACGTCCGGGAGCACGCCCTGGGGCTCCAGCATGGGATACTGGTCGCTGAGGTTGAAGAGCAGCAGAGCGCTGCCATCCGCCCCGGTTAGGTGGGCCGACAGAGCCAGGATGCACTGCATGAGGTTGGCCACCGCCGGCTGGCCGCAAAGCTCCTTGAAGGGCACGATGGTGCTCTGGGGGGGCGGAGCAGAGGGAGAGAGGGGGGAGGGGCCAAGCCATCCGTCAAACTGTCACTTTTCATCTTGGACTCCACAGTGGAGCGTGTGAGTGTGTAGAAGGAGAACAAACGTGAAAGTACAGAGAACTGAAATTATTCAGACTGGAATTTACAACTGATAACCGTTAAAGCGATACTTAAAAAATAAATTAAAAATTAAAACCATCTCACCAACCTCAACAGCCACACACACACACACACACACACACACACCTCTCGCTCTGTCCAGCCATGCCTGCGGCCTCCCTTGTCCTGGGTGATTGTGTTTGTGTCCTTTTACAGGAAGTATTGATTCAGTCCCTCAACTCCCAAGCTGAAATTAACTAACTGGGGGGGGGGGGGGGGGGTTAGCCCCCATCCACTCGATTTGTGGGGAATTGAAAGGACACTCAATTCAATTTACGGTCCCCATTTTGCCGGGTGAGAAGCTCTTGTGTTTACATGCTACTTGCGGTGTTTTTTCTTCCGCCGTGTAAAAACAGCGAGTTGTTCTCCCCCTCCTGCATCCGGACCCCCCACCCCGACCCCCACCCCCTTAACGAGCCTCCGTTAGATTCCTTCCTGAGATGCGAGTCCTTGCATCATCGCACTTCTCTCCTGCAATTCAGCAGCGGGTTACATTTCTGTAACTGGGCAGCGGGTCCCGGCAGGTGGGAGACGCTGAAGGCATCTGACACGTGATTATCACTGAAGCGTCTCAGCCCACAGCAGGGCGCCACCGTGTGGCACGTGCCGGTTCCTGCACCTACCCGACAGCGACACAGGACCAGTCAGTCCTGGGCCACACGCATCCCATCATCATTTTCATTCAGGCAGTACAGAAACCAGCTTTTTCTGGATCATGCATTCTCCACATTCTTAGTTACATTTTTTTATACAAAAAATAAAGTCAGTATTCAACTTTTTGGCTTAAACTGAAAGAAATTATGATTTCTAACAATATTTTGTCACTAATATGGCTAATAATAAATATACTGTGTTCCATAGCCTTACTGTGTTTTTTTAATTACAGGTGTTTGAGCTGCATTTTTAGAAGGTATAGCTGCATCCAGTGATTAAGGATTTGTCAGCACCGCCCTCCGCCATCCCTCGCCCCTCCCCCATCCCTCGTCCCCTCAGCAGAGGTGCTGGAAGGTCACTCCCCAGCCTGACCAATCAGCTGATCCGGTAGGGCCCCATCTATCACAGCTGTGAGTCTTAGCGGCCATTATGGCTCAGCCTTGCTGTTCTCAGCTGGTTTTCTATAAGATCTGGAGTGGGAACACTGGATTTATCTCCAGTTCATGTCTGGTACTAATCTGGTGTAGCTTTTCAAATGCAGACTGTCCCTGATTTACAACTGGGTTCCGTTCCGGCAGACGGGTCGCATGCCGGAATGTATGCATGTCAGAATAGGATGACCATGCCGACTAAGGTGAGAGAATGAGACTGGGATGGTCGCTCTGCCATTCGGGACGGGACAGTACAGCACGTTTCTCTCCTAGGGCAACTGTCCTGCGGTTAGCGTGGCACCACCAGGAGGGCAGGGGGGTAGCCAGCCAAAATTCATACATAGTTACTTATTTTCTTCCCCAGGTATAACGTCGGTAGTATGTACACGCTGTCCTACATCACCGAGGTTGTAAGTTGGAGTCTATATGGAGAGCAGTGGTATGGTGGCTCAGAGGGCGACACTGCAGCTCCCAGGTTTGAGGTGTTTGCGTCCCGTTCGTTGCTCTTTGCTATACGTTGGCGTTGCCCCAACTGGATACTCCAAAACTGAGGAAGTCAGGTCAACTGGTGCCTCTTTACCTCCCCAAAGCGAGTGCATGTGCCCTGCGATAGACTGCCATCCCATGGAGAGCATCCCTGGTGCTCCAGACTCACTGCGATCCTGTGCTTATGGATAACGTCTTCTGCAGAGAAATAAATCGACTATGTTTGCAGAGTCACAGCACTCCGTTTATGGAGTTCCCGAGTCCTGGAGTTCAACCCGAACCAAAACAAGACGAAACGAACACAAGGCCTGGTGTTGCTTCACCAGCGGGCCCGAGCAGAAAGCCTTCCTTCGTGCCAAAAGATTTACGAGCATAAAAACTCTTTGTACTTAATTACAGCAGAGGGATGACATTCATAGAGAGGGCAGCGAGGACGGGCCTCACCGTTAGTGCTGACACTGCATTATCAGGGAAGGCAGCGAAGCACTAACAGCAGAGTAAAAATAGAGTACAGTTTAAACAGGGCCTGAAATGAGAGATGGAATCTGGCCCAGCCAGGCTGTGTAAAGGCAACAGCAGTGATAATACATTACATCTCACATCCCTTTTTGTATTTATATTTCAAAGACTTATGTATGGTTTCGTGTCATTTTTATTTGTGCTAGGCGAGTGGGGGGAATGTATGAACAAACCAGATTGCAAGCTTTCAATTACAAAGAAAATGTCAGCTTAGATTTACAGTCACTTATTTAGCCGACGTTTTGATCCAGAGTGACGTTCGTTGTTGAGAGCGGGGTCCAGGCCCCTCCCTGGACGTCCTCCCTCATTGTAGCAGAACGCAAGACACGGCCACGGTTGCCATTCTGCAGAAACCAGCCAATGTTCAGGTCCATCGTGTGGCCCGGAGTCTGGATGTTCATGGCTACAACCTGGCAACCACACTTCCAGAAGTCCTGGGGATTCATGTTGCTCAAGTTGATTCTCATGGGGTTAAACTCAGGCTAAGAAATTCTACACTGTGCCCCCACTGTGCCCTCAATAGCCTTGCTGAAGGGCCCAAAGACGAAATCACTGCGCAGACCACTGCATTAAAACCTGTGGGTTTGAAGTGACGAGTGGCTGTATAAAGCACTTTTACAAGTGATTCACTGCACATGAAGACAGAAGGGGACACGTATATATAAACAGGCACGTTCTGCACACATTAATACAGCTAAAACTAGGACAGCCTTGAATTCATCTGCACTTTTCATTGCACTCAGAAGGCAGCTAAACCAAGACACTTAATGTTTTACCTCCCTATTAAAAAAAAGACACTCCCAAGACAGTTCTGTGCCGTGGTGATGAGGCCAAGCGAGACGCACGTCTTCAGGCACCCGCACCTCACTCATCCGCGACTGACGCGCCTTATCCAGCATGCAGCACGTCACGGCAGGCACCCGCACCTCACTCATCCGCGACTGCAGCGCCTTATCCAGCATGCGGCACGTCACGGCAGGCACCCGCACGTCACGACAGGCACCCGCACCTCACTCATCCGCGACTGCAGCACCTTATCCAGCATGCCGCACGTCACGGCAGGCACCCGCACCTCACTCATCTGCGACTGCAGCACCTTATCCAGCATGCTGCACGGGGATGACATGCGGCCCTGAAGCTGAGGACTACGGTGGCCCAGCTGCGACACGCAGAGTGTCAGCTTCATTTCTTTGTCGTCACGGCAATTTAACAGGATGCGCTTCAGCGCTTTCACATGATCATCTTTAATAAATCATGGGAAAGAGCAGATAATGTAAATTGGCATCAGACTCATCTCATTAAATTTACTTCAGTAAATTAATTTTACATACCAAAACACCTTTAACTCAGTTACAGAACAACAATTTCACTTGTATCCCTATGCGTGTGCAGATTTTTATATATATTTTTTTAAATCTAAGTAGTGTATTGGCCAATATATAAAACAATTCAGAATCAGAATCAGAAAAACTTTATTGATCCCGGAGGAAATTGCTCAAAGAGTTTAGCTGGGGTGGGGTTCAAACTCGCACAGACATACGTCCATTGGATATTAAATCCAATGGATTTAATCTTAAATCTTAATTGCCCACCTTGGACCCAGGGGGTGGAGTACGTTCCATTCTTCTTGATATTCGTGAGTTATGACCTCAAGCTTAAGCACAGAAACAGAATCTCTGTCTTATTTGTACATTTACACCAGGGTTTTCCACCGATCCCTCTCCATGGACAGATGTGCCAGTGTTCCTGCTACCTGGAGTCCACCATCTCCAGGGTTAGGCTTAGGGTTAGGCTTAGGGTTAGGCTTAGGGTTAGGCTTAGGGTTATTCAGTCTTACTGCTTAGTGAGAATTTCCCCCTTTTCCCCCCTGAAGCAGACATACATTTCATTTTGGATATATTCTTTTCACTTGTGGTCAGCTTTATTAAACAAAAATGCCAATGTTTATAATGCTCACTTGATGTATTATATTGATTAGCTTCTCAGAGCGCTTTTTTGTTTTCAAGCTGAAATGAAGGAGGCTAAGACCGAACGTTCCAGAAGGAGAAATCACACACAGGGTGATAAGATGAAGCAGAATATTCCATTTCTGAAAGCAACATCAGAAAAATAAAAAGCGGCATTGCACCTCACACTGACCTTAAAAACTTCCTTTAGTTCTCCTTACTTATTGGAATGAAGTGGTGGCTCTGAGGCTAGAGATCTGTGCCAGCCACTGGAAAGTTACTGGTTCAAATCCCGTGAATACCCAGAGTGATTCTACTCCATTGGGCCCTTGAGCAAGGCCCTTAACCTGCAATTGGTTCGTCCTGGGTATGATGTTAATCTACATCCAGCCCTATAAGGAGGTGCTCCAGCTTACAGCGAATAACCAGGATGTTGGTGGCAGGATTGGCACTCCAGCCACCGGAAAACACTGGTCCATTCGGACTAGTGTGGTGCTGAGGTATCACCTGCCACATGGCTACACTCAGGTTCTCATCCCTGAAGTGGTTTGTTGTATGGTGGGTGCGGCAACACGCTGTAATCAGTGTATACTCCTCCTCTCCTCACCGTTTTAACATGAGTTGTTTTTGAAAAACAGTGAAAAAAAGTTTGTTATGATCACTTCATGTAAGCACATGCATACACGGGCCCAGCCTTACCTGCATGTTCTCACGGAGGTCCGTAGCCTCTTTCAGTGGCTGCATGGCAGTCTTGAAGACCTCATCCACGGCTTTGATGACCAATATCCTCATTGTGGCATATTCCCGATTCCGTTTGGCTTTCCGCACAGACAGCCCCCGCTTATGCGGCTTGCCCCCACCCCGGCGGTTGGTGATGGCCACGTGGACAAACAGCCAGGCGTGGGGCAGCAGGTCGCCCGTGAGTGAATATAAGGGGACATGGCGAAAGCCAGGCTGGATGCACTCAAATGGGATGGTGTACTGTCCAATGAACTCATCCCCAATGAAGTCGTCATCCAACACAACAAAGCGCACCATCGCTAGTTCCGGCAGGTTGATCTCAAACTCGAAGCTCTCGTCGAAGATGGGATTGTCGCCATTCTGGTTGACCGTTTTCGTCTTCTGCTCAGCACAGTCAGCTGGAATACCGTGTATTTCCACGTAGACATAGGGATCAACAACATCCCCCTTGGCACCAGAGCCCTTAGGTTTGGGGAAGTTCTGCCCGCTGATGATCTTGATATGGAAAAGCTGAGGCGACACACCGGGGACAGAGTCTTTGGAGTTAGCTCTGAAATAGGAAACTTCCTCTCTCATTATAGCAGGACGCAAGACGTAACCACAGTTGCCATTTTGCCGAAACCAGCCGATGTCCAGGTCCATCATGAGGCCTGGAGTCTGGAAGTTCATGGCTACAATCTGGCAGCCACACTTCCAGAAGTCCTGGGGGTTCATGTTGCTCGAGTCGATTCTCATGGGGCTTGGGTAAACTCGGGCTAAAAACTTCTTGTTATAGTTGACAAAGTCACCAGGGTGGTCGCTTGTGCAGCGGCTGGCGAAGGCCTCGTTGAATGAACAGAACTCCCAGTACTTTTGGTTCTGGAATGCAGCCTGGAAGTCCTTAAACGCAACAGATTTGCACAACGTCACCAAGTCAGAAAGCTCTTTTAAGAGCTGGAACCTCTTGGGTGGTGAAACATTTTGCTGCTCTCCCCCGTCGCTGTTCATCCTCTGTGACATTTCAGCCCCTTCGTCCTCATCAGTCACATCCCCTTCAGTGCCGGTGCAGTTTGCTGGCAATTTCTTACCCTTCAGCAAAATCTTTCCTTTCAGGTCAGAAGGAGAAGGCAAGTAGTTCTCATCTGCCTTTGGAGGATCAGTGTGGATTTTATCTCCCAAGATTTTTTTTAGGTGCTGGACCATCACCTTTTGCTGCTTTATTGAACAGTGGTTCTCCAAACAAAGAATCAAGGGGAAATCGGAGGCAACGAAAGCATAACGGTTGATGACGTCAATGACACTTCGGAAGACTATCTGCGATGTCATTGTGTGGCCCGTGTAAATAACTGGTTCGTTGTCTGGCCCATCCCAGACATCCAGCTCCACACTCCTGCAGCCCATCTTGAGAGCACGAATGTACCCTGTGATGTCAGAGGGGCCACGGAACTGGTCCTCAATTAGGTAGGTATTGTGGGAAGAGTTGATGTAATAGTGGGAGATGGGCTGGGTCATGTCCTGACATACCTTCTTGTGCTCAGGGTCAAATATGTGGCACTCGGGTGACGTGAGGTAATTGGTGAAGCCATCGAGGGACAGCCAACCATTGACACGACCTTCCTTTGAAGGCTCATACTTCAGTATCACCTCCAGGCTGGTTTCTTCACTGACCTGCACCATGCCTTGCTCTGCCTCCAAGAACCTCATCAAATCCTTGGTGTCCAGAAACTCTTTGTTGCTGGAGAACTGGACCAACAGAAAGTAAATCTCAGGTCGGGTGCAGAGGTCATGAAAGACTTCGATGAACTCCTCCTTGGTGACGTCACTCCCGATTTTGTCTTTGGCTTTGTGGAACTCCTTGAACTTTAGCTCGACTTTGATGTTTTTAACACCGGGATTTATGCGTTTGATCAAGTCAGTGGCCGAACTGAGACTTATCTCCTTGTTGTTACGGATGTCGGCAGCAGAGAAGATCTCGGACAGCCAGGAGGAGCGGAGGTTGTCCTGGCTGCTCTCAATCATATCTATCGTGTGCTTCCCGTAAGAAATCATATACCTAAGACCCGTAACCCAGATATTTGCCACATCTGCACTGTTTGCCACCAAGTCCAGGGACTCAAAGTTCTCGCCATATATAATAGAGAATGCGCAGTCCTCAGATATTTGATCGTAAACGCCATTGGCTCGGAAGATGTCCGTGTTCTTTCCCGTTCGCACCTCCTTGATAGACTTGACGTCAATCTTGGCTTTTTCTGACTCTTTCTTAGAGGGCTCCCACCTGAGGGACTGCATGTCAGCCTCCAGGAGGAAGTACCGGTGGTAGACCCGAGAGTTGGAGCGCACCTTCTTCAGCTCAGAGCCCTCCACCATGGCGTTGATGCAATCGCTGGCGCTGCTGATCTTCTTCTCTGTGGGCATGCTGCTGAAGGAGACAGTCTTCTTCCTTTCCCTGCGCTGCCTCGAACCATCCTGTCAAATGCAAAAGGACAGCAAAAAGTTAGCGGAAGTGAAGGCTGGATGGACCCCTGGGTTGCTCTGAGGGTGGCGGTCAAAATTTTGAAAACAAATCAAAAACGTCTTTATTACGTTAGAATCAGGCCAAGCTAATACAAATAGAAAAATGTACTGCCTGTGTTATAACAAGCTAGACTTTCATAAGAAGCACATCATGAAACCATCTGGACAACTTAACACCCACATTTTGCACTTGGATATTACATTCCAATTATGATTGATTATAATGTGCCATTAATAATTATTATTCCTAGCATAAACTTATTTAAATTGCAAGCATTAATTAAAACCATAATAATCAATAGTCCATTATCGAGAGAAAAAGCATTTGTGTTTAATTCCATTCACCCTTTAACGCCAAAAAAAACTTTGCTGATGTACAAGTCTGTAACAGAAATGCAAAAAGGGAAAATGAAAGTGCAGGTTTCAGCTGTGGGGAACAGTTCAGCTGATTGGTTGGGGGGGGGGGTATGAGGGGCAGAGGAAATGAACAGTGATGCAATAACAAATGTAAGTGAACATAAACTTTGAGGTGTGGGAGATGAAAGGTTTCCCTACCAGCAGTGGACAATAGGTCACCATCTTTGTTTATAGGGCTAATTAGAGTGCAGTTGGCAGCTCGAGCTGGAGTGGGACGCAGTGGGACACAGTGGGACGCAGGGGGGACACGTTCGGATGAGACAGCCCACCGAGCCTTAGTCCCGCGACCTCCCACACGCCCCGGTTACACAAAGCCAGCCTGCCTGCCTGATGACAGCACTGCAGCATCACACGCTGCCACAAACATCATTTGAGACAGTTAAATATCAAATTATGATCCTCCCCACTGACTTCTGCTTCAACATCTAGCAAAAAGATCAGGATAAATATTTTTTTCACCGGCTCTTTGAACCCCTTGAGGTTCGGTTCTTCAAATGGCTGATCCTCCAGATCTCTGAAGTTTAGCTGCATTCACACAATCTACTGATGTACTTTAAGGTTTCAGTCTAAGCCCTAAGCTTGTAAACGAGGGGAAAAACAGAAACGAAATTTACAACTGGTTTTACAAGTTTCTGAAGGTCGACACCAGAGTCGACCAGAATCACCTTTGCGAACCGAGCAGCACCAGCCCGACAGGGATAGTGACAGGATTTCTAACATCGCCAAAAATCATGTGAAACCACAGGAAAAGCCTCCCTTAACCAGAGCTACACAGGCTTTCCAATGATTACCCAGAGAACTCCTGTTTGACTTGAAATTACCTTTTGCTGAGGAATGATTCCCCTTACGGTGCATAGATAAACCTGCATGGCAGGTATCCCAATTGAACCAGCAGAGGGCGCTGTAGTTAAGGTTACTTGCTTACAACGATTAGTCCCTTGTAAGATAAACAGTTAACCTTAGACTACCCCACTGGATGATGCCTGTGTCATGTCCTATATCTGGAAACAGAAGAGGCTCCAATATGAAGTCAGATATTTTACATGCTACCAGAGCATTGTACTGTATTCCAAGAAAGAAACCTGATAACAAAAGACACAAAGAATATCTTCAGGTCTACAGCTGCAGCTCGAAATCAGAAATGGGGGCAGAAACGGCAGTGCGCCCCCCCTCTCGGTATAAATGCACGAGTTACGGAGCCACATGTGAACGTACAGAGCAATTTGAGCAGATGCTGTCTGACAGCTTGCATACTAACTTCGTGAAAACACAAAACCTCCTAAACGATGGAGCTAAAACCGCACACCACAGATACAAGTTCTCCGGAATTCTCCAAAAGGGTTAAAAGGTACCTCACGATAACAGTGCACGGCTAGCAATGTGCCTGTTTGTTTCTCAGCTGTGTCACGGCGAGACGGTAAAAATACAGCTTCAGCCACCCTAACTGCAATTCGTAAAGACTCCGGGAAAACCAGGATGCAGCTACTGCACCTCCCAGAAAAAAAAAAAAGAATCATTTACTACGAAGATGCAGCGCAGCGTCAGGGGGTGTCGTATGTGCGAGGCGAGTGCGGTTGATTCAGCGAAGCTCACAATTTGTGTCGCAAACAGGAAGCCAGTGAGAGGTGTGTTTCCGTTAGCGGGCAGCTGACTCCACATGCCAAGCCGTGTCGGATCCGTGAGAAGGACCCAGAGCGCGGTGGCAGGCTGAGGGGGACGTAACGCCGCATCTGCTGAACGTGTGCTGGTTTACTGGAAAACCACCTCAATCGAGGCACTGCGGGCTCTGCAGTTTTTTACTGTATAAATCAGTTGTTCATGTGATATTATTACAAGCGATTTAAAAAGCAGATGGGTGGTCAAAGATTTTGCCATGGTAGATGTCCTTTGCCATGGTAGATGTCCTTTGCCATGGTAGATGTCCTTGTTTGGGCCTGTAGACTCAGTTTGGTACACGCACATGCATACACACAAACACCCAGACCTTGCGCTTCACTGCATTCAGACTCAGTATGTTTTCATAATCCTAGATCTGTAGTTTCTTTTTTTTTTGTTCCTGTAGCTCAAGTAGAGCACTGCACCAACAACACAAAGGTCATGGGTTCAAATCCCAGGGAGTACACATAAATCATAACCCTTTACTGTAAGTCGTTTTGGATAAAGGCGTCAGATAGATGAATTAAATGCAAATATTTAGAGGGGGTTACCAGGGAGTTTAAGGGAGTGTCCCTGCACCGCTAACAATACAACCGCTGTTCCTCCGAAAAGGATGTGGAGACTAAGGGAGGGGCTGAATACCCGCCATGGGGTATCAACCAGAAGGACATCAGGTCAGAAGAAAATAAATCGATAAAGTGCCCAATATGTGTAAAACATATATGATCGCTAGCAGGAGCAGTGCAGGAGCAGTGCAGGGCTTGACCCCCCCCCCAAAGAGGGCTGTAACTTAGCAAAACAAAACGGCTAACAGCAGAGAACGCATGATTCACTCAAGCTCCGACTGCCTCCAGCAGCTGCCGAAAGATTATTTCGATTCAGATCTAAACTAGCATTTGAAACGTATACACCAGTCCACCGACACGGGGGGTTTGGACCTACCCGAGGTGACCTGGGACCATAGGTTCTGACCTCAGCTGCCATAAAAAAAAAAACAAATTTGCTTAAAGAAAAAAACAAAGACAAAAACCCAAAGTATGACTGAGCATAATCTCTGTCTAGAAGGGATTATTTCCCCAGTTGGCATAAGACTGAAATGCCCCCCCCAGCACATTTGCAATAAACTGATAGGTAGTCAGCGACCGGAAATTGTGTGACGTAGGGATGCGTGTGTTTTTTTGGGAACGCAGGGTCAGACGATCCCTGGAGCTCCTCGGGGTTAGGAGTCTTGCTCAAGAGCTCAGTGGTGACATCACCACCCGACTCTGGGACTTGAACCGTCAACCCACCGATCACAGGCACGACGTCCTAATCCACAGAGCCACCCACTGCATGACAACATCACATGTCAATTCAAGACTGATTCGTGGGCGACTGCAGGATAGGAGAGGGAACAAGACTTAACAGTTACCATGGAAACAAACCTAAGCCACGCCCCATATCAGGGACATCAAGGACAGGGGGACAGGAGACCGACGAGGGGCTGGGCAAGTTCACTAGGGTACAACTGCTAAAATGTGCAAATTATTTTGGGTGAAAAAGTTCTCACTAAGCAAAAAGAAGTCAAACGTGGAATCCCTGGTACATCCTGTCCTTGGTGCCAGTGTGCCAGCTGGCTGGCAGCACCCGAGCTGCCCGCAGGGCAGGATGAGACAGCTGAGAAAAAGACGGGGGGGGGGGGGGGGCACGGGAGACAGACCTCTGCGGCCCTGAGCCCATATCGATCGCCTGTGACATTTCCATGGCACTGAATGTTTAATTATGGATATATTTGTATTGGACTATAATCACCCCCCCCCCTTAATGGATTCTAATTAAAGTTCGATCCTAAAAGCAAAATTGAGATGTAGGTCATTAGCTGCAGAGCACTTTGATGCTCTAATTAACAGAGGTGGAGAGAGTCTGTGGTCCTCAGGGCTGGTGGATCGCGGAAGGCTGTCGACGAACGTGACAGACGGCGGCAGTCGCTCCCTGCTTTAGGGCTAAACCAACCATTCTGGAAAGAAAAGAAAGTGTAACCTACAGGGGCAGAGGGGCGGTAAACAAGCCAGGCATGGAGCCACAGGCGGGCGAGGAAGAGGAGCTCACCCCGAGAAAGAATCCAAAACACGCAGCTTGCATCTCTCACTTTTTTAAAAATCACGCCGAGAATTCAGCTCGCGCTGCACCTCCCACTGCAGGTTTCACTCACAGCTGATAACTGAGGAAACATGGTGTTTGTGGAGTAAAAATGGTGTATTATATACACAACTCATCCAGGGAGATCCCTGTGCATGCTGGGATAGATCGCCAAGACCCTATACTGGACAAGCAGTTATGTTAGATCCATTTTGTAGGTAATATGCAGTATTTTAAATGATTTTATGCCTTTACTTAAACAAAGATCAGTGTGTTTATGCCGGGAGCTCTGGGGGGAGAGCGCTCATGTACGCCAGCTGACTGACAAACCCGCTTCGCGACAGCACAGGTCGGCTGAGAAGGAGCCTCTCGGCTTTCACCAAAGTCCGCTCCCAGCGATGGAGCCAAAAACGGTCCTTCCTCCATCCCTGCAGGAAAAGCGAAAGCTCCTCAGCAGACAAGCCGCCCTGGTATCTCATCTCATCCTGCCTCCCCATCTAGGAGTGTTGGGGAAGCTGGCAGGGGACCTGGGATAAGAACGTTAACCCACCATGGGCTGACCACACGCACAGGAAGTGATGCAAGTCACTGTTACTGTATGTGAGCAAGGTTAGGCATTACCGCCAGTGACAGAAGATGTATAATTCTGGTGGCTGCCATGTGACAGTAGACGCCTGTGGCTCATCCATCACTGCCCCACTAGCAGCGTGGAGCTGTCCTCGCTTCTCCTAGACTGGACGTCCTGGTGTGCAGTGGCTCTC